GAGAGGGGCTAGAGATGGAGTTCAATCACCACTGGTCAATTACTTAATCAATCATGCCTATACAATGAAGCCTCTATAAAAACCCAAAAGGACAGGGTTCAGAGAGCTTTCCAGTTCGTGAACGTACGGAATTTGGGGAGAGTGGTACACTTTGAGAGGGCATGAAAGCTAGGTGATTTTCCCACATACCTTATCCTGTGCATCTCTTACCCTTTTATAATAAACCGTTGATCTAGTAAGTAAAATTGAGTTCTGTGAGCCACTCTAGTAGTAGATGAGTTGAGCCCAAAGAGGAAGTCATGAGAACCTCCAATCTGTAGCCAGTGGGTCAGACACACGAGTAACAATCTTGGGAGCTTGAAAATTGGGTTCAGGAACCCAAAAAGACATTTTCTTACTGTATATCTTTCATAATCAAGCAGCCTTTTGTGTACTCTTCAGTCAGTTTTTTCTAACTTCCTAAAATTTGGTTATTAGATACTTTAAGCAATGGCAGGGGAAAATTGTGTTTCCAGATGAGAAATCAACCTGGAACATAAACCAGCATAACCTGCTAAGAACCAGCTTCCCTTAGAGAGACCAGGAAGGCTATGGGTAGTTAATGCGACACCAGAACCTCCAAGAGGTAGTTACTGGCCAGGAGGGAGTGCTTTTAAGGTGGTGGAAACCTACACTTGTCCATAAAGGCCCAAGATTGAGCAAGGCAAGGTCCCTGAGAGTGGAGCTGTGGAAAAACAAAACTGTAGCCTCAAAAACGCTCTACCTTCCACATGTCCATTTTGTAATTCTTGGAATGCTCTACTTCTGCAGAATTGCTCTTTAAATTCTCACCTGTTTTACTTTGGCTTATCTCTGCAGTCTTCAACTGGCTTCTCTTCATTCTTATTTAATTTTTTTCTTACATAGCCCTTCCTCCAATTTGCCTTCCTTTCCTTCTTACTGTGAATTTCCTGTATTTCTCTTGCCTCCTCTCCCCTTTCCATTTTATCTCTTCTTCACCTTAGTCATTGAATTTCTTTTCACTGTTCTTAATCTTCTTCCTCTCACACTGATGTGTTGTGGTTTTAATCATTGCTTAGGCACTTTAAAATCACCCAGAGACTGACATTTTCTCCCTGCAAGGAGGAGGATTTGTGAGTGTGGAAAACTGACTACAAAGACCCAACACATTCAATTTTCAGCACAGTTCTTTCCTTTCTTCCATGCGCTTTTGCTTGGGATTAGAGATGGACCGTTTACTGCCCCTCACGATGGCAGAGGCCTTCAGGCCTGACTTCTCAGCCCTGTCAGTCACTTGGCAAGGTATATCTGAGCCGCTGTGTTTACCCTGATTGGTAGAATTTTAAAATTGGCCTTCACTAGGAAGAGCTTACTCAAATCTACCTGGAAAACAAAGTAATGTTATTTTGTAATGCGGTGATCAGACTCATTCTTCTTTTCAGGACATTCATTCCCTTCGCCTTCAGCCCCACTCCATTTTTTTACAGCATGAAACAAGAGCACACACATGGGTTTCTGGGAGAAGGGTGAAGGATTTTTGTCCAGTTACCTTGGCCAACTTGACCAGAAGTAAAATCTTTGCAAAGGGAAGAATAGTAAAATTAGTAAAATAGATCAGTCCTCAGGACTGTAAGATTTTATCATCTGGCATTTAGGAAATGTTAGATTGCCATGAATACACCCAGTTCATTTGACCCTGAGAGATTTCACTTTAGCTCTTTGTAACACTTAAGTATGGACTGCACAGCTTTTTCATTTTTTTTTTTTTTGATAAATATGGTCATGAATTCACTTTACCTTTCTGTGTTTCTTGAAGAGCAGGAGCATGCACCTCAATGACTAAGTGTTTGAAGTTAATCTCTGCCAGGCAGCAGGATCTGGAAGATCATCATTATCAAAGGATACTTGTGGTCAAAGCTGTACCACATTCTGAAGAGCCAAGCACTCTCTGTTTTGGTTGTGTTTTTATCCAAGTTATTTGCTTCCTGGAGAAAGACAATAGAAAAAGGTACCAGGTAAATAATCAATATAAAATACTGATATATGCTATGAACATTAATATAGAATATATTCACTATAAAAATACCTGTCAAACCAAATTAAATTTAACCACATTAAAAAAAAAACTTTCTAGGTTGTAGGCATTTTTATCTAAATGGCGAAGCAGCTGCCAAGCAAATTAGCTCATAGATCTTGCCATGTGGATGAGACTCTTGTGGCATAATTCAACATTTACTTTTCTTCATAATCCCTATTTTATTAAACAGCTATGAAATGCCACTTTTTGACATCAATAAAAGTGATATTTCTGTCACATCGCTGTTGCATGATTTTTGCTGTTTACTTCTGTCAAATTTGGATGGTATTTATTTATGACTTACCAAAAGGTCAAGTCTAAAGGGATGATAACAGTCTAATAATTGTTAAGCTAGTTTTCATTCATTTTCTTTTTGATCACTACTGAAGGCTATGGTTAATTTTTGATATCTTTCTCCTTTTAAGAGTTTTGAAATAGATATTCCTTATAGAAAGCCTGTAATAACTGAATGTGCTTTTCTATTTTTTTTCCCCAAAGGGCCAAAGTGGGAGGAAGATAAGGAATTAAGAAGAGGAAGCATTCAGCTTTGCTGACACCGCCACCCCAGAGCCGCCTGTGTTGCCAACCATGGTCAACCCCACTGCGTTCTTTGACACCATAACAGACCGCAAGCCTTTGAGCCCTGTCTCCTTCGAGCTGTTCGCAGACAAAGTGTCATAGACAGCAGAGAACTTTCGTGCTCTGAACGCTGGAGAGAAAGGATTTGGTTATAAGGGTTCCTGCTTCCGCAGGATTATTCCAGGATTTCCGTGCCAGGGTGGTGACTTCACATGCCTTTATGGCACTGGGGGCAAGTCCATCTACAGGGACAAAGGTGATGATGAGGATTTCATCCTGAAGCACACGGGTCGTGGCATCTTGTCCGTGACAAATGCTAGACCCAACACAAACAGTTCCCAGTTTCTCATCTGCACGGCCAAGACGGAGTGGTTGGCTGGTTGGCATGTGGTCTTTGGCAAGGTGAAAAGAGGGCATGAATATTGTGGAAGCGTGGATGGGTTTGGGTCCCGGAACGGCACAACCAGCAAGAAGATCACCATTGCTGACTGTGGACAAATCTAATACATTTGACTTGTTTTTTATCTTAACTACCAGACCATTCCTTCTAGCTCAGGAGAGCACCCCTTCACCCCCATCTGTTCAAAAATAGCCTATAATCTTTGTGCCCTCACTGCAGGTCTATGGTTCCATCTAGATGAGAGGAATCTTGGCTGCTGAGGGGTCACAAACATGCTTGGAAGCCCCTCTGTGCCCCAGTTTCCCCATCTGTCAAATAGGAATAATAATAGAACATACTTCATCAAATTGTTATAATTATTAGAAAAGTTAATACACGAAAAGCACTTAGAATAGTATTTGGCACATGGTGAGTGTTCAAGAAGTGTCAGCTGTTATTGTTGTTGTTGTCATTAATAAAAAATATAGTGTTTTCCATAAGATTAGGACCTTGGAGTCCAACCAGTCTCAATTTCCTCAATTCATTTTGCAGGCAAGCAACTGCAGCCCAGTAACTTATCGTACAATGTCTGTGCTTTCCAGAGTTTAAAGATTAAGTGAGATAACTCACAGAAAAAAACATCATCTTTGGAGTCCTGAAATTAACATTGCTACTCTAGCATTCTTTTGATTATGGTTAGCATGGCATGTTTTTCTCCATCCCTTAATTTTTTTTTTTTTAAAGATTTTATTTATTTATTTGACAGAGAGAGACACAGAAAGAGAGGGAACACAAGCAGGGGGAGTGGGAGAGGGAGAAGCAGGTTTCCCGCTGAGCAGGGAGCCTGATGTGGGGCTCGATACCAGGACCCTGGGATCATGACCTGAGCTGAAGGCAGATGCTTAACTGACTGAGCCACCCAGGCGCCCCCGTGGACATTAAGTTTTAAAAATCTGTTTTCTGATAGACCTGAGTGCCATGCCTTGTTATCGCGAGTTAGAATTTATTCATCATATTCGTCCAAAAAGGAAACCAGAGTGTCAGTTCAATTTCTGTCCTTCCCTGAGCCTTTCTCCTGCCATTTTTAACCCAACAAAGGTGTCAGGTTTGCAAGATCACTGCTACACACAGGATTTTCTTATTATTTTGTAACATCTGCAAGTTGTTTCTGAGTCACCATCTCTCTAACAGGCACAGCTGGTTAGGGCTCAGCTGGCAGAATAAAACTGCTCACCCCAAACCAAGCAAGTTAGAAAAACCTTGGGCCAACTGTGGGGAGTTGCTTCTCTCTCCCTTTTTCCTTTTCTTTTTCAAAGAACAGCAAAGGGCTTACAAAGTCTTATCCATCAGCAGGCACAGGTAATTTTTGATAGCCGATAACATCTACCGGTGACAAGATAGTTATTGAAGAAAAAGAAGAGAAAATAGTGTAAGCAAATTCATGTGTTTGGTTTGGTTGTTTGTTTTTAAGTAACTGTGGGCTGTGTGGTGGTGAGCTTGGCTGGCAGTCAGGGGCCTGGGGGTCCAGCACCCTCTCTGCCCCCCTGAATGACGGTGAGAACAACAGTCCCCAGCTATTGAATGCTCGTTGATTCCTCGGCAGCACGCTAGTCACCGTCATTAACTTTTTCAGTCATTACTTTTCAGTTTTCAAAACACTCTAGCAAGGTGGTCATGTTATACCTAGTTTACAGATGAGGACGTAGAGAGGCCCACAGAAGGGAAGAGAGTTAGTCCAAAGTCTCAGGCTAGCAAGGGACAGAGCTGGAATTTGAACGTTAAGACTGCAGGACTCCAAAGATGATGTTTTTTTCTGTGAGTTATCTCACTTAGTCTTTAAACTCTGGAAAGCACAGACATTGTATAAGTTACTGGGCTGCAGTTTGCTTGCCTGAAAAATGAACTGAGGAAATTGGGACTGGCTGGACTCCAAGGTCCTAATCTTATGGAAAACATTGTATTTTTTATTAATGACGACAACAACAACAGCTGACACTTCTTGAACACTCACCATGTGCCAAACACTATTCTAAGTGCTTTTCATGTATTAACTTTTCTAATAATTATAACAATTTGATGAAGTATGTTCTATTATTATTCCTATTTGACAGATGGGGAAACTGGGGCACAGAGAGGCTTCCAAGCATGTTTGTGACCCCTCAGCAGACAAGATTCCTCTCATCTAGATGGGGCCCCCAGGTATAAGTGGGGAGCAAACTAAGGAAAAGAAATATCTGAACAGGGAGATGAGGTCAGGATTCCGGGGTGATCCTGTGGCTTGAGACAGAGCAGCTACTCACACCCCAAAACATAATGGAAATGCATGGCTCCCACCAGCTGAGTAAAGTGCTGAGGGCTGTGAAAAATGTCCCTATAGAAACTTAACGTCTGTGTTAGGAATTTCTCCAAACCCCTAGATATGGGTTTCAAGGATTTTCCAAGGTCTTAGAAAGCTTCTCTGACCTTCTTTCCCCTTTCCTGATCTTTATTTTATTTCCTGGGGGGAATATACCAGAACTCACAGGCACTCGTGAAAGATCTTATACTCTATTTCTGGCAAAATTTTCAGATGTGTTTTTTTGACAGCTGATAAGAGCAACACATATTAGGTAGTACTTTGGAAAAATGTTAACAAATGTAATCATTTTTTCAAACTTTGTTTTACTTGGGAGACTGGAGATATTATTCATTTTACTAGTTTGTAAAGAAACAGACTGGGTTTTAATTAGAATAAAACATAGACCACGTTTTCCCAGGTGAGGGAAATGCCACTGATGACCCAGCATTGACTTTTCTGCTGATCCTAGATAAAATTTTCAGTGGGTATCTTAAATATCTGTTGGCCCAGTTCTGGATCTGTTCATTTATTTCTCTGAAGTTATTGATGACTTAATAACTCGGTTATGAAAGGCCATCAATAAATGAGTAGAAATAAATGAGTTAGTCTACTGTGTGCTCTGCTTGTTCACTGGGGGTTGAAGATAAATGTGCCAAGGGAAGGCCAGCCTTTGCATTCACCCTGGAACAGGGAAGGTATCTGATGAGGCAGCTCAGAGGGCAAGCCTCTGGGAGGGTCCAGATGGGCAGAGGACAGCAGGTAGCATTAATTTACCAAGATTATTCTGAAGCAGAGATCAACTCACACCCAAGGACAATGGATGTGAGCAATCATTAGAAGCAGAATCTGGAACTTGATGGTATTTTCTTTGTCACTAGCAGTATTTCTTTTCTTTTGAGTTCTTTATCCCAGAGGGGAAGTGGTGCGCATGTTGGAACACACAGAGGATTCAGAAACTGAAAACCAAGATTTGAGTTCTGACTCTCTACCATTTACCATTTAATAACAATACACTTATCAACTCTGAGCCTCATGTTTCACACTGTAAATGGGAACTGGAGATTCAAGAGCATTGAATCTTAACTTTTATTTGCCCTTGATACTTCTAAGAAACAGAGCGTTTGATATATGTGCAATTTCTGGTTCCTTTATTAGCTTCTATTTCTGGGAAAAGGTAAAAGTGACTGGGACATTTGATATCTTTCTTTTTCCTCCTTAAACAAAGGAATAGACCAGGGGTTGGGAAGTGACTGAGCACAGTAGGGAGTGAGTCCTTATCTTTTAAGTGACCCCCTCACCCTTAGCACAACCCCAGAGAGGGAGCAATAGGAAAATTAGGAAGGTACTCTTAGTTTTATGCTCATTTGGACCTCTGAGAGAAAACAAAAGGCTCAGGCCAGAAATCTATGCAAACCAGATGCTGAAGCAAGAAGGGACTGTTTGTTGTATTAACCTTAATGAAAAAGAACTAAGCAAATGCAAATACACTCCTCTCTCAATATTCAAATGTGGGGTCTCTGTTAAGTGAACTGGATGAACTCTGCTCTGGGATAATCATGTGGGATTGCTCTTCATTTCAGGGGGATTCAATGGATTAAAAGAGAGAGATTTT